TGCGCTGGTGCCTTGACAACCGGATGCCACTGCCGTGGCCTATAAGTACAGGTGGTGATGCACCTGTGTCAGTCTCTTTCTTACCTGGACTGGGCATTTTGGCTGTTGGTGACGGTGATCTGGCGTTGTGCTGTGCTGATGCGAGTGCTGTTACAGCTGTTATGGCCTGCAACGCAACAGTTTAGCCGGTGGTTAATATCCCTAAACCTGCAGCGTCGCCGGGCGGCGTCCTGTATGCACACGACATTGCTCTCGGTTCATGTGGTAAGTGTGCTGTCTGCTTGCATGCTGATGGAACTGTCTGCTGTGTGCAGGTAGTGTATCGCGGTTAAACACAATGCTCCCTTGATTGTTTTAGAGCGAATCGTTGCTGTGTGGGCTGTCTCGATCTGGCCTTTGGCTGGTTATGTGTGTGCGCTGTGGAACCGTGGGAGGTATGTATGCATGTCTCATATTGTATTCCATTTGATTGAATATATACCATGCGTAATATAATATAAATGATGCTAAATCTTCCCTTCCCTTCAGTGATCTGCTGCACTGCTGCCTCGGCGGGGGTTTGAACGGCGGCTCGGTCTGTTATTTTCGTGCCTTGGCTTTGGGTGTCGCTCTCTCTCCCCCTGTGGGATTGCCCTCTGCCTGGTCGGCCCAGTTCCGGCTGTGTCTTGGCTCTAAGCGGGCTGCCGGTTTTAGCCTTTTTTTGTTGGTTGGGTCTAGTTATTGTATATTTAGTTTATACAGTTGGCATTTTGTGGTGTGTGTTTTCAATTTTGATTGGTTTGAATTAATTGATCTGTACATTTTCCCTAGGTGGCGTTGTTGGCAACTTATTTAAGTTAGTATTACGTATTTAAATAGAATCACACCCTCGTCTTGCTACATTCGCAACATGCATTAATGGGATGAGGTTGCATACAGAGGGAGAGAAAGTAGAAGAGAGAGGAGCTCAGTGCATCATGGGAAGTCCCCTGGCAGTCTAGGCCTATAGCGGCATAACTAAGGGATGGTCCAGGACTCACCTGAGCCAGCCCTAACTATAAGCTTTATCAAAGAGGAAAGTCTTAAGCCTACTCTTAAATGTGGAGATGGTGTCTGCCTCCTGAGCCCAAACTGGAACCTGGTTCTACAGGAGAGGAGCTTGATAGCTGAACGCTCTGGCTCCCAGTCTACTTTTGGAGACTCTAGGAACCACAAGTAACCCTGCATTCTGGGAGAGCAGTGCTCTGGTGGGGTAGTAAGGTACTATGAGCTCTTTAAGATAAGATGGTGCCTGACCATTACGAGCTTTGTAGGTAAGAAGAATGATTTTAAATTCTATTCTGGATTTTACTGGAAGCCAATGCAGAGAAGCTAAAACAGGAGAAATGTGATCTCTTTTCCTGGTTCCTTTCAGAACACGTGCTGCAGCATTCTGGATCAGCTGAAGAGTCTTAATGGACTTTTTCTAGCAGCCTGATAAAGAATTACAGTAATCCAGCCTAGAAGTAACAAATACATAGACTAGTTTTTCTGCATCATTTTTAGACAGGATGTTCCTGATTTTCGCAATATTACGTAGGGGAAAAAAGGCGGTCCTTGAAATTTGCTTAATGTGAGACTTAAACGACATGTCCTGATCAAGGATAACTCCAAGATTCCTCACAGTGGTGCTGGAGGCCAGGGCAATGCCATCAAGGGAAACTTTATCTTTAGATAATGCGTCACAGAACAATTAGACACATCTGTACACAGCTACCCTCACAGAAACTTATGTAGGACATCGTAGCATCTGTAAACTCATCCAGTCCAAACACGTCTTAAGGTCCTCTGGCGGAGGGTCAATAGAGGGCAGGGCGCAAGAGAGTGTATACATTAATATAAAAGCAATAAAAAATTGTAAACAGGAATAAACTATATATATATTCATTTAGCTGACGCTTTTATCCAAAGCGACCTACCATTGCTATACATGTCAGAGGTCGCACACCTCTGGAGTTAAGCGTCTTGGTCAGGGACACAATGGTGTCTCACAGTGGATTTGAACCCAGGTCTTTCACACCAAAGGCATGTGTCTTATCCACTGCTCCATCACCATCCCAAACTATAGTCATTGTAGCAGTGCTGAGGGTGAATTAGAGTTTAAGAGTCTGATAGCTTGGGGGGGAAAAGCTGCTCTACAGTCTTCTGTATCTCTTCCCAGAAGGCAGCAGGGTGAACAGGCTGTGGCTGGGTGGTCCTTTAGTATCCTTTGGGCTCTGCGTAGGCACCTCACCGCACCAATACCACTGATGCTCGGGAGATGGGTACATGTGTAAAAGAAAACGTCTCGGGTTACGTATGTAACCCTTGTTCCCCGAGAAGGGGAACGAGACACTGCGTCGGTGACGACACTATGGGAACGCTTCTGGGCGTGGCAGGGCTGAAATCATGAATGAAACTACTCCAATCCTATTGGTGTTGCTAGAACGGTAGCGTGTGACGGCGTAACTGGAGGCGTATATAAGCACGCCAGGACACCGGACACATTAGCTCTTTGCTATGAAGCAAGGCACTCCAGGCCCCCAGCGTACAGTAACCCGTAGGCACGACTAAGAGGAGAGTGACCAAAAACCGGATGAAAGTGAAATTCTGGAGCGAAGCCCCTGCGAGGAGGGCCCTAGACGCCGCCATGCCTCGAGTAGAGTGCGCCCTTAAAGCCATAGGTTGCTGATCGTGTGTTTAGAAGCGGGGAGCCCAGTCGTGGGGGACCCGAAACACACCAGCAACTGGTCTGCTTTCCTCCACTGGGAGGACCTCAGAGTGTAAATACTCAGCGCTCTGACAGGGCAGAGCAGATGAAGTCTCCCGTCGTCCGCCGTCACATGAGGTGGGGGATGAAACGCCTGCAGCACCGTAGACCCTGCCAACCTGGACGGAACCTTAGGGACATAGCCTGGACAGGGGTGCAGCATGGCTCTGACCCTCCCCTGGGCAAACACCAGGCATCGAGGAGAAACCAAAAGTGCCTGGAGATCCCCCACCCTCCTCAGAGAGGTGATAGCGAGGAGAAAGGCCATCTTAAGGGTCAGGTGCTTGGCCTCAGCCGACTCCAGGGGTTCGAAGGGGGCCTCAGCCAGCGCTTCGAGAACCACTGCCAGGTCCCAAGCGGGAACCCTGGAACGAGTCACGGGTCTCATCCTCCGGGTTCCACGGAGGAAGCGCACAACCAGTGGAAGCCTCCCCAGAGGCCCATCCCTCAGAGGGGTGTGGAACACTGCAATGGCAGCCACATACACCTTGAGTGTGGAAAGGCCAGCAGAGAAACGGTCCTGGAAGAACCATAGGCAGGTAACTGGGTCCACCGCCCGTTCTCTACACCAGGTGGCAAACACATTACACTTCAGGCCGTACGTCCTCGTGGATGGGGCTCTGGAGCTGAGCAGCGTCTCGACTTTTCCTACCATCAGGCCCACCTCAAGGAACTGGGCCCCCTCAGGGGCCAGACCCACAGTCTCCACAGGGTGGGGCAAGGGTGAAAGACCTGGCCCTCCGCCTGAGGGACCTGTCTTGGCGGGCCCTCCAGGAGCGACATTATGTCCGAGAACCATACTCGGGCCAGCCAAAACGGGGCTACTAACAGCAGGCTGACACCGTCCTGACAGACCCGAGAGCAACTGGGGGAAAAGCATACAGACGCTGCCTTGGCCACGTCTGCACCATGGCATCCAGCCCTAGCGGGGCTGGGGGCGAGAGGGAGAACCACAGAGGCGCAAACAAGTCCACGTCTATAGGGCCGAACCTTTCGCACAATAACTCCACCACCTCGGGGTGGAGTCTCCATTCCCCGGGCCCCAGCCCCTATCTCGACAGCAGGTCTGCTCCCTGATTCTGGGTCCCAAGGATAAACATCGCTCAGAGAGACAGCAGTCTCTGCTGGGACCACAGGAGGATCTGATATACCAGCTTGCATAATGGGCGCGAGCGCAGACCCCCCTGGTGCTCAGGACCTCTTCTCCGACCCTGGCGAGACTGAAGAACGGTCCTCAGATCCGTTGTCTTAGGGGACTGTGGGCGAGAGCGCCACCTCGAGTCCTGGGTGTGCTGAGGGTGACCACGAGAAGCGACTCTCTGCCTCTGACGGTAGGAGCTGGACGACGGCTGGGCACCATTTCTCCGCAGGGCGACCGTCTCTCCACAGCTGTCACCATCCTGAACCCAGACCGGCGAGGGAGATACTGCCGGAACGCCTCTCCTTGCGTCCTGGCATGCTGAAACCTGCTGACGACGGCGTCCACCGCCTCGCCAAACAGTCCAGAGGCCACGACCGGCGCGTCGAGCAGGAAGGTCTTCTAGAAAAATCTACTTTAAAGCCATAGTTTGGCAAGTGAGCTACAATAAGTTGGTTGTGTGTCTGTTAAATGCACAATTCAAATTACATTCATATGTTTTTCCCTTGAAGTCTCACCATCGTCCGATATTGTGATGGGGGCCAATTATGTTGTATAGTAATGAAATTATTATTTTTTTTAAAATACATGTTTCCAATGAAATGTATTAAAATTTTAAGCATAACAGTACTGAACTAGCCTTGTTCTTCTCTGGACAAATGTTGGGCTGATGTTCACAACTCTGTTGTCAGCTTTGTAATATTAAAGAGCATAAAAGAGAGATCCTGTGTTTGTCCTCATTATAATAAGTAGTTGTGTTGATCTGAGCATTTATGAGGTGTAAGTTCATATTGTTATTTGGCAGTTATTGTGCACCGCAGGTGATGTTACGCAGTAATCCACAAGTAAAGTAACTAGCTACTTTCAGCAGTAAGTAATCTATTAAGTAAGTAAGGCATTACTTTAAAAAAATCTATTTAACTATTAATACTACCCCAACACTGCCTATCACTACCTTCATTGTAAGATGCATGGATCGGTTTAGGCTGGCCAATATCTGACCCGCTTATTAATAAAGTCAGAATCAGTGTGCAGTGAGCACAAAAGCCTTAGATCTCGATGTTAACTGAGCTGTTGTGATCTTTTTAAATGTAGATGGAGCAGTTCAGTGTAGAAGTGGGTATTCCCATGAACTGCATCTTCCCTGTGAAGAACTACCATGAAGAAATCGACCTCAACAATGACGTTGACTCGCTGCTCCTGAGCGCACTGAAACACATCATCAACTTTGGAGAAGACTGCATCAACTTCAAAAAGAGTCAGTCTAAATGTTGAGGCGGAGAAGTACAGGTATGCTCCTCTGTACTTGTGTTCTCAGATAACAGTGGTCCAAAACTATAATACATGTAAAGTGCTGCGCATGATTCTTGTAGCCAGAAGTTCCTTTTTACTGGTGTTGTTGTGAAACAGCTTCACGTTGGGTCAGCATATTAGGACATTTGTATGGATCAGGGTAACAGATTTATAATGATTTTGAAATGAATGAAATGACATTTTTACTTAAGCTGTCCTTGTTTTTTGATCTGGGAGTTATTTTCTTTAATTGTAATGATGTTATCATGTTTGAAACATGTTTTTTTTACATTTTACTGTTATTCTTTGGATTTATTTTTTCTGTGTCTGATATAATCCATAAAATAAATAAATGTTTGAAAGCAGCATTAAAGGGCTGTATTTCATGCAGTGGTGGACGTGGGGCGAGGGAGGCACGGGAACACTGTTCTGGGAGTATAAGTCAGGAAGTAACAGCGTTCCTGCTCAGATCTTTATAGGGAGAATTCACTTATAGCTGTTTTACAAACTTTCTAAAATTCATGAAACAAATATAACTTATTAGGCTTGAACAAATCCAGCTACTGCCAATACAGCCTCAAAGTAGTGTTTCTGTGTCAACATTGTCTGCCCGTTATCAATCCCAGGCCGTCACATATGGACACATACCGGACACATTACCGGTGAGCCCATGGCACAGCCATGCTTCTGTCTGTAGAATCCACCGTTGTACTGGAAGTAGGTGGTGTTTAGACAGAGGTCGAGTAATTTGCAGATTTGGTCAGGGCTGAGGCTAGTTCTGTTGTCCAGGGTGTTGTCTTGTGTTAGCCGTTTCCTAACGGTTTCTACTGCCTGACTACCTGCTGACAAAGGAAGATGCACGGTAGTACTTAACACAGCTGACTACCAGAACAAAGTCTAAAGAGAAAGACTAAACAACCACTACACAAACGCATGGCTCAACACAGAAGGGCCAACTCCTCAGGTCAAGACTCTGCAGTCTACTTACATCTGAAGGACAGAGGACACTCATTTGAGGACCACCAGGTGCACATTTTAGACAGAGAAGATGGATGGTTTGAAAGAGGTGTCAAGGAAGCCATCTACACCAGGGTTGAGAAGCCGTCATTGAACAGGGGAGGGGGTCTACGCCACCACTTATCCCCCAATTACAATGCTGTCCTTTCATCACTTCCCAGGAAACTCAACAAACGTAACCTATTGGCCTCAGGTGAAGATACCAACGATGGTCGTTCAGTCTTGGCCACAGGTAGTCTTAACGACTGTAACGACTGTCGTCACAGCAACCAGGAACACTAACGAACCAGCGGTATCGATGACCCGGGCCAATGACCCCACTGAGGTTAAATAGCTGAGTTTCCCTGCCAGTCAGTCAGAACTGAAGAAGTCCTTTGGATGAGGGACGAAACGTCTTCCAGTATCTTCAACCAAGTCCAGTTGCCCTTGATTTTTAACCTTCGTTGGATGAAGAAGTGTTGACTTCTCATGATCAGTCAGGACATGTAGGGGTCTAAGACAAATGGCTACATCCTGCACTACTTTTTTTGGGCTAGATTGCAGCCGTTTGAGCACCTGATAATTGACTGTGTTGGACCCCTACCTCGTTCTAAAGCGGGTAGCAATTACGTGCTTACAGTGATGTGTCAGTGTACAAGATATCTGGCTGCATATCCATTACGCTCTATTACTGCCAAGTCAGTGGTAAAAGCACTGACCCAGTTCATGTCCATCTTCGGTGTCCCAAAAATAGTTCAGAGTGATCAAGGCTCAAAATTTTCTTCTCATCTGTTTGCACAAATTCTAAAGCATCTACGGGTTAAACATAACCAGGCCTCCGCATACCATGCTCAGAGTCAAGGAGCTCTGGAAAGATTTCACCAGGACCTCAAGTCTTTGTTGCGTGGTTATTGTGTTGAGTTGAACCAGGATTGGGAAGAAGACTTGCCATGGTTATTGTTAGCCGTCAGAGAGGTTGTGCAGGAAAGCACTGGTTTTAGCCCCAATGAACTGGTGTTTGGGCACACAGTGCGTGGGCCGCTCACTCTGCTGCGTGATGCTGTTGGGAAATCAGAACCTCCTAGGAACTAGGTTGACTATGTTAATGGTTTCCAACATTAGTTGTATACTGCTGGAGAGATGGCTTAAGAGAAGCTGACAAGGGAAAATGAAGCACTTGTATGATCGTAAAGCCGAGCATGGCCAGTTTAGTCCTGGTGATCAGGTTCTTGCTTTGTGTCCACTTGTCAGGTCACCATTTCAGGCTAAGTTCACTGGTCCTTAAACAATTCTGTTTTGTTGTGTACCGACAGTGTGGATTTCTGCATTTTATATTAAATAATTTGGAGACTCAAATTCCTCCTTTTCTCTCCCAGAGAGAAAGAGGAGGGGGTTTGATTATCAACCCTCTACAGACAGCTGAAGCAACCCCAAAGGAAAATGTGAAAAGTTTGCTCTCCCTAAGTGCTGTTTCTGGGAAGTCTGGTCGTAAAACTGGCCACCTTTTGATGCCTCAGCCAGATAACGCGGTATTTGACTGTCAAATGACAATGAAACACTACACAGAGATTACCTTTCTCCTGAACAGCCTATCAAAACTCTTCGTAAGAGGGCAGGAAACCATAAACTGCCCCCCACACACACGTAACCATGGCAACTGACCTTCCTCTGTGTTTAATTGCCTCACATCAAAGGAGATACTCCTTTTCACGCCCAGGTGTGAGAAAATCCAGGACACAAGGGACAGCCCTGAACTCCTTTGTAAACAGAGCACTGTCTCCTCAAAACTCCAAGCATTACCTCGTTTAATTAAATCTTCAAAGTTACTGACTAGGTCTCTCCACTACATTTGAGTAGTTATGTTACCATGTGGTTGTTAATTGTTGTTGAAAATAATCTAAATAAGTTACTTTGGCAGTGTTTTTATTTTCAGCAAGGTTAATGACATTCCTTCATTTTATGTGTAACCAATGCTTGTTCACAATACTTTCTGACAATTCCTTTAGAAAGGATATGATAAAGAAATGTCATCCTATACTCGATTAATTTCCAGCTCAATTTTAAGGTTAAAAATGACTAAATTCCCCAGCTCCTGAGAAGATTGTGTTAGGATTGATTAGAGCTATCCTCATGTAATCCGAGCTCCCCCAAGTGGACAAAATAAGTATTACATGCCATCATGTGAAATGCTGTTAATGAATAAATGTCACGCTGTATTTACTTGTCCATAATCTGATGCCATTCGCGTAGCTTGCCTATATTCTCTAAGAACGTGTAACCGCCAGTATATCTCAGAAAGCTAGTTAAATTCTTCTCCTCAAGTGCTTAGAACTAAGAACGGTACAACCGTTTGACAATTGAGGTTTGATTGTGGGAGGATATTTGATTACAATACGCGCCAATAGATTTGTTTTTGATTAACTTTAATATGTCTAAAGAAAGACAGACCCTCGGGAACTGGAAACAAGCCTTCCAGGAAACAAAGGACTGCCCTCTGGGAACCACGCCCCAACCAACAATAGTGCGACACACGCTGTCGTTCGCTCTCTTGTGCTTCTCTCTTGTCCCTGCTAATTCCTGGCCTCTTCAAACTGTGCGTCGGCACGCGCCCAGCGCGACGCATCTCCAGGCGCAGCTAAGGCCTTTGTTCGTTTCAAGCTACACACGCGAAACAGCTTTCCCTCTTTTCAGCAACTTACTTGTTTTTATTTGCTTTGGTTTTGTTTTGTTAAAGTCCGTTAAGTTACACTTGTTTAAATCAAGAACGACCAAGTTCTTTTTTAAGCCTTATTCGTCGAGCTAACGTCACCGAGGTCAGACCAAGCCAGGTTGTCTCACCAGTGACAACAAAGGACACCTGAAGAACAGCCTAATTGCCAGACTGAGGACGGTCAATACTGGAGTGCGTTTCTTCATTCAGACACGGAGAATTCCCTAGCAAAAAGCCAGGAATCGGGCAGCTAGCGTGGGACCCGTGCAACAGGTAAAGGCAGGCCGCCGACCCACCTTAAGGCAAAACAAAGCATTCTGTGGTCAGTGATGTCCAATAGTGTTAATAGATCATCTTTTTAACTCTTTAAAACTCATAGCTTGCTTTCATTACTTCTTTTCTGCCCGTATGAGTCAAATTCTCCCCACAATAGAACTCAACATTCCTTGTCTACCCATGTTGCTTAGCCATTGTTATTTCTTTGATGTATATATAACCGCATTTATATGACCTTAGTTAGTTAATAAACTCCACTGTAATCAAGGAATTGTGTGTATTGCCCATCTCTACGTCCCTGCCAAGAGAATTTTCCCCTTCCACGAGATTGACTGACTGATTTATCCAAGATAATTGAGCGATTATTAACTAACTGATCACTAGTGAATAATTGTATAATTATTAAAAGCTACCCAGAGGCTCAGGGTTAATTACAACTCCGGTGGTGCCCCGAAACGAGAGATTTATGGATTAATATTTTCTGAATATTAAAATTCATAATTGGGTATTAATTCTCATAAATTTAGTAAAACAATGTAGACATGCTACAGGTTTCAGAACAAAACTACCTGTTGTCAATGCCAAAGCGTAGGAAACCTACCCAACTCTGTCATGTAAATCCTCTGAAACCCTATTATGCTCGTCAATTTCAGGTTTCTGAGTCGTGTGGCGTGGAGCAGAATGATGCTTTGAAAGCAGTTTCAGTGGTTGCAACAGTGGGGAATGGTATGAATTGTTTCTCTGTACAGGAGGATGACTGAGTTAAACCACCTGATGAGAGTTTGTTGCATGGCCGGTTAAAGAATTCTGAGACCTTGCAGAATCTAGAGGCTTTGTTTGGTCATTTGTCTGAGGAGAGCTCCATGCATGGACCAACCCTTCAAGCTGCACGTGGATGCAAGTGATGTAGGTGCTGTTTTGTTTCAGTGTGAAAACAGTGGTATCGAACGACCCGTGAGTTTATGCTCAAAGAAATATAATTCTTTTCAGTTAAATTATTGCACTAATTTGGGCATTACAACATTTTGAAATCTATGTTGACTCTGGTAGTGTTCCTCTGGTAGTCTATACAGACCCCAATCTTTTTATGCATTCTTTGCATTGCCCAAACCACAGGTTGATGGGATGGATTTGTTTTTACAATCCTATTGTTTGGATATCTGCCACATTAAGGGCTCTGAGAACATCATGGCAGATGCTTTGTGAGCAAGATGCGCTTCAATTTTGTAATGTACCATCATACATGTAATATCTGTGGCTGTCT